AAAACTTCGATTAGGATACCTATTACTTTTGAATGATTAATTCTAAATCTCTGAACCTTGTACAGTTTTGTAGATCTTTCATAGGCGGTTTCAATACACACCTGACAATTGAGAATTCATTGTAAACACCTCACCAGTAGGTTTGTTTTCAAAAAGGTTGATTGAAAACCTTTAAAAAGGTTACGTCAAAAAAATCTATAACATATGACTCGATGCATATTCATCTCCCCTTTTGAACGATGAAAACCGCAGTTCTCTATCTTGTTTCTATCAAAAGTTATTCAAAAAATATCAAATAGGCACTAGTACTAGCAGTCACATATCATAGTAAAACAAGTCTTATCGAAAGTTTATTATTATGATCTTGGTTTAAGTATGATCAAATAGCATAGAAAAATAGAGTATTCTTTTCTCTATCAGACTATATAGAAAGAAAGTTTCTTAAAGATTTCTATGTGGAGATAAGGTATTGACGACAGGACTTTTGGATTGCTCTTAGTAATCGATGAACTTTTCGAAAAATAAAGAGTAATCAAATCTTCTTTTTTACTACAAGGGTACCGAATTCTATTGTTCGTAAATTATGCATTACAGCATATATTTCGAGTAGCTGCCTAATTCGAGTTCGAATATCAATGAAACAAATAGCACCCATGTCAGTTCTGCCAAAAAAAGTTTTATCTCAGTTATTTCTTATAATTGAGATAAAAATTTGTTTTTTGGCAGAACTAACATGGGTGCCTCGTATCAATTATAAGTTTTATAACTGAGATGAAAGTTGTCTTACTTATTTTCGAAGTGATTTGGTGCTTTCAGAGGATCACTTATATTTTTATTTTTATTCGAATTAGGCATCTCATGTGTATTTAATACTATAGTTAAAGGTTCTTGAGTAATATCAGCCTATTTCCGTTCAAACATAAGTATCAAAGATTCTATAGATAAGTACACGCTAGATTGTTCTTTTTTTGAGATACCATTCTTTTATACGGATACCTCTTTCAAGAAAACAGCTGTTAGGGCAATGCCAACAGGATTAAAATGTAAAACACGATGCAACATCGGTCGCTAGTCAGTGGAAGATCGTTTTATTAAATATGTTTCGGAAATTTTTTTGGCTTCTTTTTACTTAAGCCTTCTGAAATACAATATAGATGTAATTGGTATATTGTAACAAGCCAATATTAATATACGATCTGTGATCATATGTCAATACGTATGATTTCAGTTCGTTCATTAGAAAAGTTGCACAACTCACCACATGTTGAAAAGAAGGACTCTTTCATATCATCGTCGAACTAGTCGAAACCCATATCATTGTCTTCAACCTCTGACTCTGCCACTTCCAACTGTGGTTTCAATAAAACTTTTTCTGATGCACGCATCTTCCCTAAAAGCAAATGCACACTTCAAGTACACAACATTTCGACTAGAAGCTGAAACAAATAATCAAATCACTTTTCGAAAAATAAAAGCTCAAAATATTTATTTTTCTCTGCAACTGCATTGAATTCTGTTGTTTAAAAGTAAATATTAAAGCAAATAATTAGTACTGTAGTTATAAGTTCCTGAGTACAATGAGTCTAAATTTTGTTTCAATCATGAGTGTCAAAGATTCTATAGTTAAGTGCACCATATGTTGCTGATTTTTAGATCCCATCCTTATATATTATTAATGTTGAAGCCGTCTGGTAGCGATCCAAGATAGAAGTAACATAAAGAGCGCTGAACCTTTAAAAAAATGAGTACTGTTTTTTGATTGATTTCCAAAAAGCTCTACGTTTCATATTTTTGACACGAAACTTTTTCGAAAACTATGTTGATCAAAAGAAACAAATGAAGTTTCAACGAGATTCACTTAAAAAAGCTAGTAGCACAATCCCTCAGGGGCTAATATGTGAAATACGGATGTCAAAAATGAAAGATATTAATCAAAATATATTGCAGAAAGATTAAGAACAATCATCATACTGATTCTGCAGTGGGATTTGGTCTCGAGGTTATAACTGTTACGTACGCAGGGGTTCAGATTTCTATCACTACACTTCATCCTTTTTGGATCGTTTTTCACAAAATATCTGTATAGTATTTTAGAGTAAGAGAAATCATTTTTCTTTGTCGTCCATTTTAACTGTTAGCCTGCTGAAAGTGAAGTGAATTGCTGATTTTCGATGTTTTTCTTAAAATTCAAAGAATAATCTCCGCCTTGTAGACTTTCTCTATCAAAAAAATTGCTACGAAATAAAACTCCGAATCGACATAGAACAACCGCGTGGAGTAATATGTAGATTCTATTAAAAATGTCTCGCAGAAATTTGACCCCAACCTCAACCAAGTTTGCTTTGCAAAAATGTTTTTCTTTTAGTCTCTTGCAAAAATTGATTTTTCTTGTCTAAAGCAAATATGAGTTATTTTCTATAGAGCAATGCATTGAAGTCTCTTGCTTCCAAATATGTATATTGAATGTTTTCTTGGTCTAAGTCGTTTTTTAGATCGTCAAGTCTATGTTCCAGATCATCTTGAATGAAGTTCAGCTATTTTTTTAATTACTAAAAAGTCTTGTTCTGTAATACAATTAAGTAATAAATAAAGTTTTGCTTTATTAGTAACTTTCGTTAAAAAGACATTTAACTTTTCGTTTGAAAAATGTAAGCTCTTACATGCTCTGCACAACAAGTTTTGTTCTTATATTTTTGCTGACTGAAAATGAGAACTTTTGTCTCAGTAGAATTTGTATGATTAATATTTCAAGCAAAGAAATAAACTATTTCGCAATTCTATTATGAAATGTTCATATTTTCGCTAGCGAAAGATCTATCGAACTTTGGCACCACCTATAAATCCATAATCGTTTAATATTTTATGTCACAATGTTTGTTGTATTCATTGCAGGCAAAAATCCAGTATTCACATAAGTTTTCGCTCAACAGGATGAAGTATTTTGGAGATACTTTTACTGATGAGAGGAAGAAACTATAAGGAAACTATGTTTTTTGGCATAGGTATAGTTATGAATGACAGTTCTAGTTTTTCCGAACGCCGACACCCTCAAAGTTTGATTTGTGTAGTGCGTTATATGTTACCTGTACTTATGAGCGATTTTACAACTATTAGTGATGAGGTCGATGATGATGGTGTAGAGATTACGTCATCGAGTTTTGGTACTTCACCTAACTGAAAAAGAAATATTCAATTTGGTACTCCATTTCATATATAGCATTGACTTGACATACCGTACTCAGTATTTCTTTCATCTTTTGCAGTTGTTCAGTTCGTGATATTGCCTTGAAATTGGCCTCGAACGGACTGAAATCTATGAAAACGAAGTATGAAGATTTCTTTGAAAAAGATCTTCATTTCTTTTGCGGTGTTCATAAATGCCTCATTATACATCAACATTCATAGATTGCAACGTAAATTTTGTATTTCTTTTGATTGTGCACTTGTTCTGATTCAAATAGTTTTGCTGTGAAGTTAGACTATGCAATTCTTCCACAACATCCAAGCAATTCCGTTCGAGTTTCAAAAATGATTGACCATATGTTATGATTGTTCTATTTTGGTCGTGACTATTCAAGTTATCAGATTTTCTTAGTTTAGAGCTTATTATTGTGGAGATGCTGACTATTCTATTAGAATGCCATTACTCTTCTTAGAAAAACTTTTTGATTACCTCTATCCTAGAACAAAAAAACATCAGAGTTTGTCATCGTATATGAATGGTGTGAAACACACGCTTTTACATAGCCGTATCTTAGGATACAGGCAATCCAAAGATTTGAAACTTTTATCATGATCTATACTCATCCAGGCATTTCTCTCTAAAACGTTTCAAGTCGAAATTCGAACCGCAGTTTTTTTTCGAGGGCCACGGTGCTTTGCTAAAACATACAGTATATTAACAATAATAAGCTATTAGCGCAAACCCTTTTCAAGATACTAATAGGTAATTCGAACGTACAGGACACACATAATTCCAACTGAACAGTGATTTGACTCTTAGAAACACTTTCTCGCTAGTACTAATCTAGTTTATAGTTTTCTCCTCAATTTACTAGGTCAGCATGCAATTTTGTATGTTCTTTTTACTTAAGATCTTTTCTAAAGAACTAAAGTTTAAAGAAATCTATGCATTGAGTTCAAGCGAGTTAAATCTAGTGATAGATCTGTTTCGAATATTCAGACTTTACTTTTAGAATTTTTATCTTAATTAATTCGATGTACTTCTTAGATTTCTCTTCGTAAATCAATTTTCGTTGTTTATTTACTCCTATAGAAAATTTTATTGAAATGTTCGAATTTCAAAATACCCATTTATACATCGAATCCAATGAGATAAAATGTCATGCCAGAAATCGGACTCTGTCTCTGTAACTGAATAACATTGATACTTATTCGATTATTGGACGTGATTGACTTTTAAAAAGTTTTGTGAATTTAATCCAGAAACAACCTCCTATCTATTTTTGAAATCAAAATCAAAAATGGATAGCTTGTTTGATGACATAATGTTCATATCGAACGATACATTATTCTACCTTAACTGAGTACTCTTTAAATTTTACTACATAGCAAAGAAAACTTCAACATAAAGTAAGTAATTTGCCATCAACTACATACAGTAGGCTATAACTTCATGTTAAAGATAAGGGTAGAACAGGAAAGAAAAAACTTAAGATCAAAAGGTAAAGACGAAAACTTTTTTTTATTTTACACTTTGTTCTAGCATTCTCCTGGAGTCCACCACTTTAATAGTGGACAGTGCTTTAGATTTTTCTGTGCTTACCATTAAAGTCGACCACTTGTTCACTGCAAGAAAACAAATAACAAATTTTATTTTGAATATTTTCTTCCTCTTTTTACATACTCTTCGTCATTTGTGATTTTTAAATTGTTAGCTTCACATCGTTGTTGTAATGCTTGTCGTTCCTCTATCGTTGCACTGATCATCTCGTTCTTTAGATCTATTTGTTGATCGGGAATTCGACATCTGTGAATATTTACCTTAAATTAACTAGCATACCGTTTCGCATTTTTTCTTCAAGTTCATTTGCTTTTTCGTGCTCATTCAATGAATAACGATATGTACGTATAATAGTCATCATCGTATCAAATTTAGCATCACCACCTGTTCGATAGGAGATTTTTTCACAAAGTTTTTCAATATCCGAAACTGTTTCTTTTTTGCTCTGAATCGATGCATTTTCGAGTGAAATACGTGCATCAAGCAATTTTTCTTTAATCGAAGTCAAATTTGATACATCACCATCCCATCCTACGTAGGGTAGTAAGTCGACATCTCGATCGAGCATAACGTCAAGGAGACGAACACCTATAACAGAAAATACACGTGTAAGTATTCTTGATAATAGTATGCATTAACGAACTTTTCACTTGATTAGTAATATTATGGTGCAAGAATAAAACATTTGCCTACATGAATTTTTATACGGTGAGTCGAATAGACTGCGCAAGGTAAGGAATATCAAAAGTCGTGTTATCATCGAAACTAAACTATTTATGCTTGAAAATAGGTTCATTTGTAATTGAACTTGCTGCAACTTTCTAGAGTCATTTTACCAATACACTAAGTTATGAATAGTTCAATAACAATTTAGCGTATCAGTCCAATACTGATTCTTCTTCGACATAACGATTGACATATTTCACGTCAGCAAGATGTCAGGATTGTCTTAGAAGTTGCTTGCCAAAGGACTCTTAGCAATATGAACAGCACCCTGATTCTACTCTAAACATTTCGTTGTGTCATCCTAAGCTACCTTTGAGGACTCTGCTTCAAACATCATTGGATACTAAGCCGAGCTTAAATTCAATTGTACTTTAGAAAATAAGCTGCATGGTTAAACTAAATCGATGATTGGCTGAAAAATGAACATAGATACTTCACTTTTAGCGGTATTAAGACGTTTGATCTTCGCACCTTACTCAAGACTTGTTAGCACAGAGTATAAGAAACATGTAGCAAAATTTTTACTTTTGTGCTGTTTTGCTACTAATCAATGCATATGTCTACTCATCATATTTCACTTTTTGTACTAACCTGGTTGAAGAGTTTGTATATCCATATTGGTATCACGTTCTTCTATAGCAACAAAACTAGTGTATGCACTGACGACAGAATGTTTGATGCTTAGATCGATAAGATCTTGTTTATATTGAACTTTAAACAGTTCGTTTTCGCTCTCGTCCACATGCAATAGCCCATTGTCATAATCATCGATAATTGCTCGAGCGGTCAGACAATGTAAGATGCGCCCTTTGGTCGTTGTCATCGTACTACTAAATACAGTCGTAAGAAATTCTTGTCCATCGATAGTAGCCGTCAATGTTGCCTTATGACAATTTTGTATAAATCGATAGACGCTAAGTCGCATTCCATTGAATAAAGATCGAATCATTTTCGGTGCTTGCATATTGAATTTTTGTTCTTCATCCACATGACCATGCCAATTGATCGATATACTTGTAACACATGGTTGTCGGACATATTCGAGAATATTCAAAACTTTCATTTTCCATCTCGATCGATAGTTCGAATCGAATATTGTTGTTAGACCACCTCCACTTGCTCCATTCGCTAACTGTTTCAAACCATGTTTGTTAGCAACATTTCCAATAGCACATGTAAATAGACGATCATGACGCATAGTTGATCGATGTTCGAGTAAAGCAAGAATCGAGTTAAGATCATGGATATGTCCATCGGATAGAAGAATAAATTGACGACCAAATTTTGATGATGATGGTAACAATGAATAACGATGAAGAATAGCAAATAGATCCGTATTACCGCGATGAATCAGTGAGTGCTAGAATATGTGCGCACATATATTTCAAGTAGGACAAATTACGTTCACAACAAACTACTAACCAGAACAAAATGTTTGGCTTTATCAAGATTTTCTTTTGTAGTTGATGTTGAAACTGGAAAGCATTCATCATTATCTAAATGAATATACATTTGAACAATAGAATAACGTTGTAAACGATTATCTGATTACCTGATCCAAAAGTAACTACATTAAAAAGTGTATTCGTGTCGCCAACTTTCAAATTCGTAAGAAACAAATGAGTTAATTGTTTAGCTTGTTGTACATGAGTACCATCCATCGAATTGGATACATCGACTATGAATATAATTTCAACTTGTTCATTGGAATTCGTCGTTGTTTCGAATCGCGGATAAAAAGTAAGCATACATGCTTGAGAATTATGATTGTTCGATGTTGTTTTTTCATTGTCATCATCCAATAACAATGTTTCATTTGATATGCGAGGTAAATTAGCACTTTTGAGTGATATCGAAAGAACGAAATCTCGATCAATTAAAACGTTATCGACAAGTTCGATCATGGCTATACAATCAGTTAATTTTCGACGAAGACGATGCGTTGGCGAGAATAATTTGGTTATTTCATACGGCATTCGAATTGATGCTTTGAAACTAAATTCGACTTTTTCATCGACAATATCGATCGATCGTACAATCGATTGATCTTTGCTTTCCATAGCTTTTTTTGATTGCCATGAAGCCATTTTAGCTGGAAGACGAAAGATGATGTCATCATTTTCTATTTCTAATTCGGCAACATAAGTTATTTTAATAATGACTTCATTGTTCGCTGGTAAATTACCAACAGCAACACTGAATACTTGAGCTTGTTCTTGATGCATCAAATAAGCACCATGACCCTTTTTGATTGCTTCTCGATATTCTTGTTTGGCTTGTTCTTTTTCTTTGACAACACCTTTGATAACTTTATTGTTGATATGTGCTTCAAAACCGCATACAGTTGAATTTTCATCAAGAGGAAATACATATTTAACTTCGATTGGTGTCGAACTCGTATTATGATAGACTTGATATAGAACAACCTTTTCATTAAAAAGAAGCATATATGATGAATTAGTTTAACTTCAGTAAAATTATAGATGTAATTACTTCAACTGTAGCATCAACAATTTGAGCACGAATATGAAATGATTTAAGTGGTACAAGTTTTCTCGATGATGGACATATTAAACCATAATCTTGTTCGGCTACTTCAATAACTTCATCATCGATTGTTAATGGAACTTCGACTAGAACGTAACAGATAAGCTGATCAAGCTTTTATTCTAACAAAAATTTAAGTATCATTACCCTGTTCACTCAATTTTAATGCATGTTGTTGATGGTGAACAATTGGCAATTGTTCTAATGCAATATTGAGAGCATCGTTCGGTATCCATGAAACTTCCACAATATAGAGCAAACGTTGTTGATCGAGTTGATAGATCGCATATTCATTATCCTGTTTCAATAAAAATTAGATGTGTGATTGTACGGTTAGGTATCTGGCATAGTAATTTTGCTTTTCAATATTGAATCTTGATTTGGTCGCTGGTGAATTCACATTAGTGTCTCAGATATATGGTAACCATGAGAGAAAACTAACAGAAACCCGGTTGAAACATAATATCAAAAACTTTCGGTCTCATAATATGTACAAATCTGATTATTTCACACTTTTTCGTTGAAATCAAATCAAGAATAACTCTAACATAAGTTAAAGATTGAACTTTTGTTACAGATAATTATTAATATTCGATTTAGTTCAATGCTTGTTACTTGAGAAAGAACTGTACTTTATTTAAAAGGAGATACACTGCTTGAATCTTATTCTATTTTCTACTTGAATATGATGTTTTGATCGATTTTATGTTCGCGAATACAAGAAGAAAGTTGAAACTCATGTCTCCTAGAATAAAGATCTGCAGTCTTGTATTCAATTTCTAAGAGAACTCATTTTCCGAGACTCAGTGTCGATTACCATTATTACGTAGTAAGTGGTTTGATTGATTGTGCCTATACAGTCATAACTTCATAAAAATGAAGCAAAATGCGCATCTCATTGTAACATTATTCTGTGCATGGTGAAGTCTCTGAGGAGAGTTGAAACGACTCGATATTTGTAACTTTCTGAGGATTGAATAAATAATAGAAAATGTTTGTATCAAATTCTACATAATATTTAACAGAGTATATTTTTGGAAAAGGCATTTTTGGAAAAGCGTGTCTCATAGTCAATTCTTGATTTATTTTTAATTAATTGTAACAAGAATGCAACTTGCAAGTGTATTATTAAAATAAGCATTAAAATCTGAACAAAACCATACTTTTTTACTTTTCAGCACTATAAACGCTAAAGCAACTTCAAGTTACATTGTATAGAAAGTATCAAAGTCTCTTTTGTCTGTTCTATCAATTAATTGTTACAAACATAGAATATTATATGAATGCTATTTTGTGCAGTCGAAACATGTGTCTTTTTTTCTTCATGCTTACTTTAACTGTCGGAAACTACCGAACGATTTATAAATGTTTTAGACTTTGTCACCATTTTGTAGTACACACAAAGAATACAATGAAGTATTATTTTTTTATCTGACACAACAACTTTAGAAATGAATGGCTTTGGTTTATGTAAACTCTGTTTTTTTTCATTAAACGCATCCTTTCGATATGTTGGCATTTCAGGGGGACATGAAAATAATATTCATGACAGAATTGAGCGAGACACATAAATTGTCACCAAACGCAAGAACACAAACTACTTACCGTAAACATTGAATGATTTTCTTCCATTCGTTTAACTCCATGCGTACTATGAAAACCATTGGGAGGCTTGATAAGAGTCGGTGAAAATGAATAATAGTTAGCCGATTCCCCAAGTGCTACTTGACAAATACATAACAATCGTCGACCTGGTCGTGTTGCGCTTGATGTTGTATATTTTAGAGATGTAGAAGCAGAATCAGAAAAATATATCCCATAACCAAGACAACCGATATCAGTGCGTACGACACCCAATTCTTCAACTACAATTTTTGGCATGACCAGACCACTGAATGTATACAGTCACACTATAAATATTGCCTAGAGAATGAAATGAATATTTTACCGTGAAAGTATTCCAAGAAAATTGGCATATTTCGATCCATGAAACAGTTGTCGTTGATGAGAAAGTGATGTACAGTAGTTAAGGGCATCTGTTTGTTTGGCTACACTGAATACGTGGTGAATAACGATTTGTTCACCACTAGCGGGCAAAAATAAAGTTACCATTATGAAATCGAATTTCAATTCTTCTCACCTGTCTGTTGACGATTGAATGAGTTTAACAACATTCTTAAATTCAGATGTTGAACTATTCACTGTTTCAATGTGACATTTTAATGCTCGATATTTAGCTTCGATCGATGCTTTAACGTTCCAATTGGTTAGTTCATTAACTGTGAGCATATCTCGAAGCATCTGAACGAACAAATTATCAAATGAAATAATCTAAAGAAATAGACATACTTGGCATAAGTCAATTTTTTCGGTCAATACTCGACGGTTCTTTATGAGATCAACATTGTATTCTGGTCGATGAGCAATAAGTGAATAGAAACGAACTGCAGCAGCAGGATCGTTGGTAGATTTAAGTTCAAGCAGGGCAGCTTCGGCTTCGATGATCTGTTTAGTAGTTTGAAGCAAAAACTATAATTTCAATCTAACAAAATGCATGTGTATACCGTTTTGATATTGATTGATTCAGGTGATACGCTCAAAATTTTATTCATATCGCCAATTGATTCTAGCCAAATGGATTCGATCAATTGACATACATTCTCATCGAGTATCTGTGTATCGATACGATTAGTAAATAAAGACTGAAAATAAGTCTTTTGGTTTTCGAAAAAATCTTTTGTCAACGTTATCGACTTACGCGTAACAATAATTTTGATCCTAATTTATCGGGTAACATTTCACGAATTCGTGTTACACGTGGCATTGTAGCTACGCGATAATAGTATGATGCAAATAATTGTTGCTGTTCGTTTGGATCATCACTGAATGCATATTGTATCAAGACTTTTTTATCATGTTGTTGACCTTCGACAATAATAGTCTGTTTCTCGTGTCGAAATCGTAGTCGATAGTCGCTCATTGTTTGATCATAGTATTGTTCGGGAATAACTTGAAGTTCGAGAACAAAAAATACATCTGAATTATCATTAGTTTCCTAGTACGAGCAATAAAAGTATAAAAGAACAACAACTAAAAACGAATAGAACTGTACTTTAAATATGGCCCATTTGCCAATTTCACAATGTGTTAACTCATCGAAACGAGGTAAATCAGCATCGTCTGAATTCCATAGTTTGATTTTACTCAAATCGAATTTATTGGTTTTGATCGTACTTGTTCGAGACCCTAACAAACATGTACATCTGACATGATTTTTATGAAAATCTTGTAATACCGATGACAGAAATAGTGCCGGTTTTTTCAAAATTTTCCTGATCTGCAACTGATTTGATGATAAATTTGCTAATATCAATTGATGTTTGACCAGATGGCAAACGACGGTACTCGTACACAAATTCAACATTGACCAATGGCAAGCCGAGCTGTTTGGCACGACGTGTCTTGTAGCTATCTACATTATTCGTAACCAAAACGTAGTCAGTCTACAAAAGAAAGAAGTCAACTTCAACAGCATATTTGTGTAACAGAAAAACAGCGTACACTAGCTGTAAGAATATATGAAACATGTGCTTGCTGTTTTCGTAAATAGTTTATCAGTTCTTGTTTCGCTTTGAAGCCTATTTCACGGCCAAGTTCAAGAACAATTATTTTACCATTGAATGGTGACAAAAATGAAGTAGATATAGTAGTTTGTTTCATCTGAAAGTAATCAATAATTTTGTAATCAATCTACAAATCTATTCATTTTGACTCTGTTTTTCACTTTCAATAGAAAGCAAAAATAAAATAGTTTTTTTACGACTTGTTCTAATTGTTACCTTTTGGAAGCACAAGCAGTTGTTCGTGATAACTAATGTATTTACCTGCTATTTCACGAAAAGAAAAAGAGGAAAAAAAGAGTAGACAAACGGCATTGACATTTTTCTTTACAATTCTGCACATGTCACGCGTTTTATGTTATTGCACAAGCCAATGAAACAGGTATATTATGGATATGTTGGCAAGCCATGAAGCACGACATTAATGCATTTCAGCATTACTGTTGTCGCCCATTGGATATATTAATTGACTAGATATTCAAATTAGAGAACTTACAGAATCGTTTGCACAGCGAAATCAATATTCACCTGTAGAGTCTTTGAATTCAGCCTGTTCAGAGTTCGGTAACCCACACTACCTAATCCACCTAACTGTTTGATTGTTGTAAGATATATATTAGTCGAAAGGGTGGGTGTGGATTTGGGTGTAGCTGAATTTTAGTGAAGACAAGATTCAAACGCTCACCCACAGTATCGGCATTGGTCGCTTATATCTTTTATCTTCTCAACTAGTTGTGCATCTATTGACATTGTAATATGTGTATCGACTTATCTTTCTGCTCGTTTTATTCTGTTCTCTTTTCTTCGAGGTGTGTTTAGAGAGTTGTGCTTTAGCTTTCTTAAGTAAGTATATACGCATACACACGAAATAAAGAATATTGAAAATTGCACACCCATAGTTCAGGAGCACAGAAGAAAGTTGGTCACAATATTTTTTCACTCTCTCATTCAAATTTACTTGACGATTAAAAGCAATATAAAGAGTCATTTACAGAGTTTTTTCATAGATCAGCTGACTCATTTTATCTGTTGTTTTTGGATATATCTTATGCAATCTGTTGCTGAAACTTCTGCTGGTGTGGTCTCTTCTGACACACGACAAAAAATTATTATTGATACTGACACAGCTACCGATGATGCACTTGCCATTTTGCTAGCATTATTTGCTCCTAACATAAAAATTGAGGCTATTACAATAACAGTTGGAAATGTCGATTTTGAGCAGCAAACAAAAAACGCACTCTATACATTGGAGATAGCAGGTAAAGGCAATGGTGAAATTCCAGTTTATCAAGGTTGTTCAAGACCGCTGATGCGACAAACCCATGGTACGGCGACCTATGTACACGGTAGTGATGGAATGAGTGATTCATTTTTTCCCGATCCAAAGCAGAAGCCAGAAAATGAACACGCTGTAGATGCTATTATTAGATTAGTCGAAAAATATCCCGGTGAAATAACTTTGGTTGCAATTGGACCTCTTACTAATATCGCTTTAACCTTACTACGTAAACCTGCTATTGCTAGTCAAATAAAGTCTATTTATTTCATGGGAGGTTGTTATAAATTTTATGGTAATGTTACACCAGTAGCAACGTATAATCCATGGGTTGATCCGGAGGCGGCAAGAATCGTTTTTCAATCAGGTATTTCTATAACAACTGCTGGATTTGATATCAGCTGCTACAGTTCTATATTTACGGATGCTGACTATGACGAAGTACAAAAGCTAGGAACAAAACTTGCTGACTTTTTTCTAAAAATTAATCGTATACGAAGAATATTTTGTAAAGAACGTCAAAAAATGAATGGTTCCAACCATCCTGATGCACTTACAATAGCAATTTTAATTGATCCAAACATTGGACAACAAATGGTATCACGATACGTTGAAGTAGAGACACAAGGTGAATTAACTCGTGGTGTATTGGTTATTGATGAATTGGGTGTAATGAAAAAACCACCGAATGCTACAATTTGTGTACAGGCAGATGAAAAACTATTTAAAGAAATAGTGTTTAATACTTTAAAGAAAATATAATGTGTGTGTGGATTAAGAAGAAAACCACACACAGACATACTCACACCCTACGACTTCCTAAACATAGCTGAATTTCGATTAAAGTTAAGCATAGCTTCATATAAACATATAACGTCAATTAAGATGTAGGTGAAGTGGATGTCAACACCCAATCCTAGCCCACTTCCACACCCTCAGATAGATAAGTATTTTATCGAAGCATTGTATCAAATTACGAAAAACATGAGTAAGAACTTTTTTTTTAAAGGAAATGAGTTACTATATATGGTTTTGAGTTGTCTATTATTCCAGTTGATACATATTATACAGTAAAACTTCAAGTAATAAACACCTCCGAATTATGAACGCTTGCAGGTTCGTCAGAGCAATTTTTACTGGAAACGCATCTCTATACTGTAAAGACCTCTTTCTATAATAACCTCTCTAATGTGAACATATATGCAAAAGTGAGAAAATTTTATGATTGATACGAGTACTGTATTTGTGAAGACAAGAATGATATCACATTCCGAGCTTTCTTTGCGAGGAAAATACAAGTCATTTATAATGACAAGAATGGTAATGATTTATCTGTATCAAGCATGCTGAAATATAAAACAAACACAATTACATCGCAAAAAGACAAATAACATTAGAGAATTAAAAGAAACCTAAACTTTATATTGTAATTGAAAAATCTTTCAATTCAATCATTTCGATAGATATAGTTGAACAAATATAGTGAACGTTTGTAAATGGTTTCTATAGTGTTCACAATAGAGAGGTTGATTGTATCTGTGGGATTACAGGTGCGAAATGACAAGAAAATGACAATATTGATTTTTTATCCGTTTTTTCTCATTGGAAATACAATTATCGGTTTAACTTTTTCTCTTGGAACTAATAGTATTTTTCATCACTAGTGTTACCATCGCATTTCTCTTTATCTTAACATGTAAATCCATGCCATAATTATAAATTGATAGGTTAAAAATTTCTTCGTATTTTTATGAAGACAACATCTATGAAAATGACAGGTGTTTTTAAGATTTGAATGAGTGAATCGCTTAATATAAAATTAATATAAATGAGATAATATATTTCTTCATCCAACAATAAAGATTTTTTACAAGAAAGCAACGTTTTCTTAAAAAAATACGAAGCATCCTCCTTTCTATTAAATGAACGAAATTCAATACACATTTTGTTGAAAGTGTTTTGAGTTACTACCGTTGCTCTCTTATTTATTTATTCAGAAATTCTCTGTTTAACAACCGATAACGTATGATTTTTCGCTATACTACCATTATCATTTAATAAAATCTTTGTTTAATTAATTTCCAACATTTTTTGTCGTTGATCATAGGCCATTTCTGTATAAAGATGAAGTTTTGTTGATTAATTTCTATTTCTATCCGACGTCGTTTATTATCCATAATAGGTTTTTTTGAATGTTCGATTGTTAAACTTCGATCAGCTGTATTAATGACTAGATTATCATTTAATAATTCATATTTTGAATAAATCTTTTCGATTGAAAGTTCTGAAACGCATCAAATAAAAAAGGATCGTAAACTTTTGTTATTGTAGTTTAAATCGTTTCGATTAAGATGGGAGGCACATACAATCGTGATAGATTTTCATTTGATACTATAGATAATGCAATACTCTACTTAAGTATGTCGATTGTTGATAGTATTCAATATAAACGACATGATGGACCAAGTAAATTATCTCTTTTTTACGCTGTTGAACATAACGAAGAAATACTTGTTAAAATTTTATTGAAAATGGAAATGGCATCGGAAAAAAATATGCAATAAGTGGATTATATAAGAGGAACGTTTTTTTCCTCTCAATTCATTAGTACAAGATGATTGCTTAGTAAATAATTGTTAAAAATAAAAATTACAAAAGCCATTCTCAAGGAAAAAATGGAACGACGAGTATGATTCCGATCTAAGTGATCATGGGATATTTAATCAATAAAACTAACTAGTTAAAAATGTGAGGCATATCTCTCGGATAAGATCCGCCTACTTTCTAGAGGTCTTTAGCAATGGAAAAAACACTGAACGATAATAAAATCTATATTTAGACTCATCACGAGCATTTTAAACTCTAAATGATCGTTATAGGTTTTCTAACTTTCGACGACGATCAATATAAACATTTTTGTGTTTAAAAGGAGTAAAGGATATTACGTTGAGACTATTGTCGATTTATCAAATAGATAGACTGAGCAAGCTAAGCTGGCAGTCAAATCAATGATCAACCGGATAAAAATAACATTCAATTAAGGAAACAAAATAAAAGCAGCATATATTTAACGAGCTAATCGCAATAAAACGAACATATATATACTATAGAGCACCAGTAGAAAAAATTAATAGGAATATTTATTCGAATTGCAACAATAAATAAATAGAACGGTTATTTTTTGTTTGATAACCGACTATCATTGGAGAGCAATTATAGGTGTGGGTGTGGCATGCGGTGGTAAATTCCTATTTCCAGAAAATTCAAATAAAGTGACTATAAGAGAAATTTCATGGAAACTTAATCGAATGCTTTTAAGGATAATCATAAAAAACTCTTCTAATTAAAAAAAGGTGTTAGCGCAATCCCTTGCGGGATTAGAAATGTGAAACACGACGACTCTACTATTACTTATTGAATGGAAATCCTATCGTTCAACTATGATGCGCTACATTTGTAGCTAACCGTGTATATGATGCTTTACAACTAGTTTCTGTGTCACGATCTGTGACGAGTATCCGGATTCGCTGTCACGGTCTGTGATGGATACCGGGATTCTCTGTCACGGTCTGTGGGGGGGGGGGGGGGGGGGGGGGGGAGGGTGCTTCCCAATAAAACTACAACCACTCTTTCCGTGTTTGTTTGTAGAGACTCTAGAAGGAGAGAGGCGAATTAAGAGAGTGATGA